ACAGCCGGCCGTACTTGAGAACAACCCATCCTTTGCGGCAGTCAAAAGTCATGTTTTGGATATGAGGAAACAACTCTTAGATTCTTGGTGGGACATTCACGGCCCTGCAAGATATAAAGACCTAGACATACAGGCAGGAGTACCTGGAAAATGCCCAGCCACGCTACGGATTCCCAGGAAAGCACTCCACCACCTTCTTTCGGCCCGTTCAGGGCACGGAGACTTTGAGAATTACCATGAGAGATTTAACCATACCAGCTACTCACCGTGCATTTGTGGGCGAGCAAAGTCCCCAATTCATTTTTTTTTCTGCCGCTTGAAAAGAGCGACAGTAAGAAGATATACTGGAAAACTTAGAACTCAAGAGGCAATAAATTGGCTATTAGGCACAGAGGAAGGGGCGGTGGCATACTCTAGTATCATAAATGGAATGTAGTCTCCTCTGGGGAAATAAATGTAGGGACCGAAGTATTGCATAAGATTGCGATACTGGACTGGATTGTAATTAGTGCAGAACTGCTAGAAAATTTCGCTGCGGGCTTAGCTCGACAGCGCGTCCTTCGCCCCTAGGGAGGTTTTTGGAGACTATCGGAAGATAGTTTCGCCGCGGACGTTAAATGCTAAAATAAAATAACATAAATAAATTATACATGAAGATACCCTCTGCCTAAAATTCCGTGACACGTTTGAGTGAGGTAGTCTTTCTCTTCTTTTAAGCCAACAAAACAAAGGTCATTTGCTCATAGCATTTATGGCACCAGCGTTCATTGTAATGAGTGTATTGGAAGTTTGAATTGAAGGGTGAAAAAGCTCGAGGATGCATCTTCTGATGCAAACCCCGCCATAATCTTATACTTGCACAGAGGAGGGCAAGACTGAACACCTGTACGCGGTGTCCTCTACGAACCTGGGAGTAAAATATTCTCCCCGAGCCAAGTTCAGTCAAATTTCGCAATATCAAAGAAGTTGGCCCACGGGGCAAAATTTCAAATAACTCCACCATGTCAATCTTTCACTCTCAAAGAGTGCGATTCTCAACTAAGCTTCATCAAGTCTACAAGTACGACATAGTACATCCTTGTTTCAATGACCACACCTCTCGTCGACTTTCTCTGGCCTCAGCCGGTCACCAAATACACGCCCACGCCGATATTTATACAAGACGGAGGAAGCAAAACGTGAAGCACAAATCTGGGAGATAGCCCTTTGGGATGGACGTAAGAGGGATCAGGACAAGCTAACAAGATGATGCAAAGGAAGGATATAACCTCGAAGGGCATGAAATTCTGAATTTTGGCAAGGAGTTTTACGAGTTGAGCTTTGTGCACGCCAAGACTTCGCTTGCGAGAGTGCAGCTCACACTATAAAAACAAGCAGACGATGGAAGATGCTGTGGTCACCATCCTGGCGATGTTCTCTGGTATGGTCTGAGTAGCCTGGGCACCTACTCCACTCTGGAAGGAGATATCTCAGATTACATTTCGCGCGGAGAAAAGTTGATGGATGATGGAGGCATGTCTGGATAACTCAGGGTTTTTGAGACGTTTCCCTGGGTGGGTATTCACGGATGAGGGTTGACTTGGGGTGAAGAAAAAGCCGCCATAACTTAGCAGTGGTACTTGCAAATGAAATCCGAGGCATGAGTTCTCTTCTTGTAAATTGATTCATCTAGTTTAAACTCCTCTGATATTCTGTCATAAGTAGATAGCTGCATACGCAATTAAAATCTGATGCAAAAAAACCAAATAACTAGTTGGGTAAAGACTGAACTTCTATCCGCGTTGTACTCAGCGAACCCAGGAGTGATATAATTTCTCAGTCCCAAGTTCAGTCAAATTTCTAGTCCTTCATAGCCAAAGAGGGAGACTATTCTCAACACCTGACAGTGGTGTCCCCTACGAACCTCCAGCTCTCACTGTAGAGTCTGCAGAGCTGAAATTGAGTAACAAAGTCATCACTTCGACGAGGATTCCCATTCGCTTTTGCGGTGTATTTTGTCTTCATCTCTCAACGCATCCCTCTATCACTATTATCATGAAGCTAACCGTCATTAGATCAGATCGTAGGGTCGTTGCCCTTTTCATCGCCAACTTTTGATTGTGGAAGAAAAGTTATCCGATGAGTTTCCAGAGCGTACCCAGCACCCGATACAGAAATGGTGGATTGGATCAAGTCGACCTCGACTGTTACAAAGAAGGGAGATATAGATGAATATGCACACCTCATGTGGTCCCAGTGTCTAGGCCTCGCTTGGCTAGGGCTGCAGGTTTTTTGAGACTTTTTCCCGCGCACGCAGTTTCCATTGTTACGATTTTTTTTTTTGGGTAGAAGGTTCCCTGGAAAAGGTGACCGAATTCTACGGGTAAACGCTGAGCTGAATGGCTATTCATCAAGGGCAACATATCAATGATCTTTCGAATAACACGAGAGGCAAGGAGCACTTTACAAGGTGTGGCCTGGGTCTGAGAGGAGCCCAATGTGCTAGATAGTCATAGACTCAAGTTTTACAGTAAAAAACACAAGCATAAACAAATAGCCAAAGACTCAATAGGAACTTTCATTCTATTCTAGCCTCAGCTGGCCACCAAATATACGCCCAGGCCGATGTTCTTGCCTACTGGAGAAAAGGAGTCTAGGCGCTCAAATCTGGCAGGCAATATTTCGAAATCAAGGGAAGAGGTCATGACTGATAGGCAAGATCACGCCAATTATTGATAAGATCTTGAAACGGATGGATTTTTGATTTCTCGAAGGGAGTCTTCCATCTTGAGCGTTGTGCGCTACATGACTTCGATTTAGAGAGCGCGGATCACACCTTAGATAGCGTCGTGGCTAGATGATGCGTTGGTACATCATCCGAGCCGGTCTACCAAATAGAGTCTGGATGGCGTGGAGATGAAGCCTATTTAAGACAGGAGATGGCTGGTTCAAGTCAAGTGAGACTACACTACATCACTCGTGGTGCTCATCTGCATGGAACACGAAGGCATGCTTGAATATCCAAAGGTTTTTGATATTCCCTTTGGCAGATACGCCCGGTTGAGGCTCGACTTTTTTGTGTAGGCAAACATAGCCCATAATAGTAATATCGAATAACACCCAGAGCATAAGTGTTACTGAAGCCAAAAGAATTAAGCTCCATTCATACAAGACAGTGGCTTGTGTCATAGCTCTTTAGCCTCATATAAATTAATTGAACAAAGAGAAGGGAGGTATAGAGGAATATGCGCATGTCGTGTGGCTCTGTTACCTAGGTCTCACCCGACTGGAGCTGCATGCTTATTGGGAATTTTCCAGCGCACGCATTTTCAGTTACCATTTTTTGAGGTAGGAAGTTCTATAGATGTTGGAAATCTAGACTCTGTATATATGAAGGTTTTGATTTTTAGGTATGATTATCAAGATCAATTGAGTGTATTCGATTGAATATGTTTAGGCTCAGTTGGGCGAAATAAGATTCAGTGGCATCTGGAATGCAGTGGCTAGGAAATGCTACCTTGCGATAATTGAGTGACTGGTTGTTGCTAGATCACTGGGAGTTGGGGATCACTAAAGCCTCGGGGATCTGTATTTAAGGATAGACTCATCTATATTTGTAAAACTAAGTTAACGGAGCATTACATGTTGTTAATTTATATTGGGAAGAGAGTTCGATATCACATACAACTATCAATAAATCCTCGTCCGAAATTGTACACTTGTTCTTCGAGATATTTCCTCCAAGAAATCTTTGACAATTTCTAACAGTAGAAAGGAAGGCTAAATTACACGGCCAAGTGTAGAACTGTATGACTATCCATCAAGAGCATTATATCGGAGATTCTATTTTCGGGATAAAAGAAGATAGCATCACTGCACAATTTCTGGCCTGTGTCAGATGGGAGCTCAATGTCGTAGATAGTTAGACTCAAGAAAAGCAATTTACACCAAACTACTGTGAGGACAGCGTTTACATCTTACCGGATCCGAACTGGTAATCACTCGTCTCTAGTTACATATGTGTACAGGATACCCGCTCTACTTGATATACCATCCCGGATGAAGTAACATTGCAACTTCAAAAAAACATGATAACAATATATAGAGTGCCCTCTGGTTTTTGATGTTTCCTTGTATTTAGCAGTTATTGGAAAGAATCCAAAATTTCATAGTGTTAAAAAAGAAGATAAGTCGCACATACTCTAAAGCTATACCAGCAAACAGGGGAGACTCCCAATTTTCATAGCTAAATATCTGAATAATTATGAATTTTAAAAAAAAAGACTTCCCCGTCGTATCTTCTCTGTTCCAGGAAATCAAATGTGTAAGAATGTAAACTCAAGTTTTATAGTACAAATTATTGAAAGGCTGAGGGCGATGGATAGGGAGACGTCAACTTGTGAATAGATTACTGATATGTATGGGAGAATTCAATAGATCACTTGGGCAGAGTAAGATGATTGAATGATGGTGAATTGTATTTGTATTTGTAGATATGGATGTACATACTGAGAGTAAAAAGGTCCTATCTACATACAGGAATGAATGAATGAAACTTTATTCGTGACGGGCACAAGCCCTGCACTCAAAGAGCATGACACGGAGAAGACTAGCTTTACCGGCGACTATATACGACGTATCTACGTACAGGAGGTCCTACCCTTATTCCTCTACATGTTATTGTCTATGATAGCTAGAGTAACTATAATGGTGTCCTCATTGTAGTGAACACATTGATGTCAGTGTTTAGCAACCAGGAGGCAATAGTGATCAGACTCTAAGGGGTTAATTTCGCTGGTGCACGGTTATCCCCTGATGGTGTGTGCATTATGAACTCAGATTTTTTCAACACATTTAAGATAAGAAGTGCTAAAATACCAAATATATTACTGTTAGACAACTTGCTTCATAATATATATCTTGTACCTGATCTTAACACTAATAGATAAATACAGCATATATTTATGAAAAGTTTAGCATTCATCGTGATGTTGTTTCTAAAATATCATTACAATAGGTTGTTATTTATCTACTGTCCATCCAACCCAGCTTCGTGGCATAACTCTCCAAACCTTGACTTCACCGCTTCTCAAATCCTCCAGCTTAAAGCTTTCTAACTTGACTTTTTTGCTTTCTCTGCCTTGCTCCCAAGCTCGGATTTTCTTTTTGGTGCCATCCCACTCAGCAACAATACCAACATGCTCTGGTTTGCCGACCTCAATTGAATATTTAGCGTTAAGAGGGCCATGCTTACCCTGAAATTTAGAATTTCGAAAAGTAATAATGTCACCTGGCCTAATCTCATCTTTTTGTTGTACTGACGCATTAGCTATATTGCCATAAATCAATGCACCATAAGCACGAGACCCAACAGGATGTAGAACATTAGGAAGAGGGTTCAGAAGCTCTGTAATAAGGCCCTGAGGCGTTCCATCGCCTACGATAGAATCCTTACGCGTAATTATCTCATCGTATATACGGCGCCCAAGATTTTCGTGAGCTTGCTCGAGTTGATCTTGACGAAGGCGAGATGGTGGTTGTTCGTGGGTTTGTTCTAGTTTCACGTCCGCTGGATTCTGCGAATCAAAACAAGCTGACAAAATTGTCTGTGAATAATCTTGAAACAGGACGTAGATTTCTTTTTTTATCATTGTTTTCCCGCCTTGGTAAGATGTTTTCTCCTCTGTTTCAAACAGTATATCTTTCTTTCCTTGTAGAGCAGCAGGAATTCCATTGAGCTGTGTCCACCAAAAAGACATGGGCGCAAGATCAATATCGTTAGCGACAAACCCAGAATCCAAAGATATTCTAGTAATATCAGTTGATCTCCTTGTGATGGTCGCTGACCGTGATATTTCTATAGATTTGCGAGGAAGGGCCCTGGCTCCAGCAGGAGTCATAGGATCTCGCTGAGAGTATTGCAAACTATTCCTTTCCTGCACGCCGTACGGTGATCTGGGTGGTGAAGCAGAATAAAGATCATATTCAGAACCTTCGTGCCGGAATGATGGATCAATCATCGAGGGAACAGAAGGAGCTCTTTTCTTCGGCACCGTATATTTTTGAAAGTTATGTTCGTCATCATTTTGATCCCATGAAGCTGGCATATTATTTGGGGGTGGCGGTGGAGCTGACCTTGGCATATCCATTGATAACCTTGAGCTTGAAACGAATTGTAGTGGAATTGGAGGTCCTCTTGGAGCTGCTGATTTTGGCAAGGGCGGAGGAAGAGAGGGTGCAGATCTATTGTATAAAGTTTGGGGTGCATCATCAGTAAATCCCAAGACCCTAGTTACATCTTGACTTAGTCTTTTAGGAATTTGGGCAGGAGCTTCAGAGGTCTCATGAAAGCTTTGAGATTCCTCGCGTTCTTCCTCTTCTGTTGTAGTGGAATTCATATGGGATGTATTTGCAGAACGAGGATTATCCTGAGAGAAATTTATAGCGTCATTTTCCGGAGATGAATAGGAGACGGGACGCTCTTGATAGAGAGTGTGATTATTTGATGTTGGCGGTGATGGTCGAGCTATTCGGTTAGGCATAGGTAATATTGTAGCACCTGGCGACCATTGATTTGAATCTGTATTTTTTCCCCGACAAAGTCCAACAGATTCATCATAGGTCAGACTTTCTTGCGAGTAAAGTTGTGATGGTTTTGTGACATAACTCTCCTGACACGGATCTTGCGATAATGAGTCTATATCTTTATTAGATGTAGAAATAGCCTCACTGATGACTAGCTTTTCTATGATAGAATGACGAGCTGTGTGAGTCAGTTATTTAGGCAAAAGTTTCCTTCAGGGTACTGACAATTTATTTGAGTAGGAGGTGTTGGTCTTGATATTGGAGTTTGCGGTGCAATAAACTCTTGTGGTAGCACTAAAGCTCATTTAGTATTCTCCCACATCAAATGAGGGCAAATACCATGCGGCGTGTTAGCTTGCTGTGATGTATTCTCTAGAGGAGAAGATCTTTGTGAAGGAGCGTTCATATCATCACAATCAAAATCTTGAGGTTTCGTTTGGGACATATTGGGAGGGGGAGCCGCCGGAGCAGGGGTAATTTGCGTGCTATCCGCCTTTGCCTCGACTGGACGTCTGTCACAGCTATTACCCTTGGTTTTTGAAGCTGAGATCATGCTAGGAAACTGTAAGCTGCAAGGAGGCCCTATCATGCCATGCATACCCATCCCTCCACTCATTTTAGCTATGCGAGCTCTAAGCTCCTCCTTACGTTTGATTTCTGGATCGACTTCTGTGTCATCATCATCATCGTGATTATCATCATCATTATCGTTATCATCCGAAATACTCGTACTCTGAATTATGTTTTTCTGTTGAGGCTCATATTCGCATTGTGAAATAGATGAAGAGTCTTCATCCAGAATACCTGTTTGCAATTCCAACTTGGTATTTTTACCCTCATTCTCTCTCGTCTCTTCATTTAAACTTGAAATGACCTCAATTGCATCTTTCATCGGCTTTGTATAATTAGGCCCACAAGTCTCAGGATCCGTACCCACAAGCTTTTGACGACTCAAATTAGATGAATCCTCTTTTTCTAATTCAATTGAAATCTTCCTGGAGGCATCACAATCTTTATCCCTCTCGTTTAATGTTTCATTCCCATCTTCATGATCTATATTCGCACTTGTGTCGGCGTACTTTTTGTTATTTCGCTTAGACTTGTCCTTCTTATAATTCAGATCTGAGTGTCGGGATGCCTGTTCCAGTTGTTGTTTCTGAAGTAAGGCAATACGTTCTTTCAGACTGGTTTGTTTTGGAGGTTCTTCCTCAATTAGGTCTTCACCTGTTGCGAGCAGAGGTCTGTCAGAATTTTCTTTGTTTTCAGACATTTTAGTAGAGAGCTCTTTTTCTTCTACACGGCGATAAACTCTCTGGATTGGCTGATCTTTTGGTAATGGAACGAATGCATTTTTACTTGGTGGTGGAGCAACAAAGGGCTTTTTAATAAAATTATTAGCGCTCCTCGAAGAGAGTCCTGGTTGTTTAAATGGAATGACTGGAGTAGCTGCTTTATTGAAGGCCGCAATTCTATCTTTCAGAGTGTTGCTAACGGGTTTTTCAGATGGCTGTGATGGAGCTGAAGTGATAGAGTGAAGTTTTGTGTTCTGGGGCGGGGACTGAGACTGAGACGATTTTCCGGGATAAGATTTGGACAGGGACGCACTAAAATCAGTGGTCAAAGGTTGAGATGTAGGATCTCGTATGACACAGGTTTTTTCCGTTGGAATAGGCAAAGGCTCTACCGTTGGAGACGAATTTTCTGCGGATGAGGGGATGGGCTGGCTGGCTGGCTCTGCCGTAGACTGTGTTTCATTCACATGAATGATACGGTTGGGCCGAGGAGGTGCTACAGGCTCGTGGTTTTCAACAAAATTTTTTGGAAATATACCTTTATGCTGAATTCCAGATTCATCAATATACTCCCCCGAGTACCATTCATCATCTTCCTCTCCTGTGATTATTATGACTTGCCCGCAAGAAAAATGGAGATCATCTTCATGCTGGGATGTATACTCGTAAATAGCCTTAACTTTCAAAGGTCGGTAAGCCATATCAGGATTCGGGAATAATTGAATTTGTTTTGTTCGAAAGAGTTCTCGTCAGCTCGTGGATCCGATGATGTGAACCCTCCAGTGTGGCTTTTGATCAACAGCGAGAATCTGGCGTTTTGCCGTTTTAGACGTGGTTTTAGAGGATACTAACAAAGAAGTTACACGAGTTGAAATTTGAAATTATCAGAATAGCTAGATAATTGAGATTATTGCGTACATTTGTCGTAATTAAAGTGCTGGCCAAATATGAAACGCGGCTACCAGAGTGGAAACTAGCCAGCCAAGTCTCTTAAAATCAGAAGATATGGAGCTCTTTGAAGATTAGTTGCCGAAAGAATAGTAGGACGAAATATTACTTGTAAGATTTTGTAGCCGAATACCGTAAAGCAGGTGTTGGGTTTCGTAGCAATGCAGTAGTGAAGTAGGCGCATGAAGCCAACACGAATGCATCACTGGCGGTTAGACCCAACCGACTGCGCCTTAATTTTCCAATTGAACCATTCATAGTCAGACATTGATTTCATAATAAAATTACAACCATGGACAATGATATTCAGCCCAAGTCGATACTTAAGAAAAGTAACTCAAAAAAAAGTACGATCAAAGAAAACTCAAATCAAAAGCTTGCTGAGTACCATGCGGGCATCATACAACGCAGAAAAGCATTCGAATCTCAAATACTACAGTCAATAGAAACCCTCATGGAATATCCGCTTGCGCACTCACCGTTTGATGCATCTTGCCCTTCACCTGTTGATATAGCGAATTTTAAGAGGCTTGCTCAAATATTTAGGCCTAATGATTATGATGACCTCATTCATGAGCGGAATATAAACGAACACTGTGGCTACACACTATGTCCGAACAAAAGACACAGAGAAAACTGTACAGGTAAATATAGACTGATGGGAACTGGTGGTAAGGCGAAAGACTTTAAGGTGGTCGAAGTGGATCAACTTGAGAAATGGTGCTCTTTACAATGTGCAAAAAGGGCACTTTATGTCAGAATTCAACTTAGCGATGTTCCAGTCTGGGAAAGACAAGAAAAGGTCGAGGGAACTCTAAATTTTGACCTGCTCGACGAACCGAAAAATATCAGCCCGAACATCCTTCGAAAGATCATGGATCTAAAGATTGATTTAGAGGACTCTAGATGCAAGGCTATCGACCCAGATGAGGGGACAGTCAAAGAAGATTCCACAAAATCTTCAGTTGCTGAATTTTCAGAGATTCAAGTACATGAATCTAATGTAGATGGGGGAAAAGAGACTATTCCAATCGTTCCAAACCCTAGCTATGAGGCGCATCTAAAATTGGAGGGGCACATATCCAAATTTCGGCCATCTGCCAAGGGTACTGTTACGTACAAGCACGGGTTCGAAGTCAACTGATAGTATGGATCTAGGAAATATTTCAAGCCAGAATTTTAATGTACTTATCATTCTACATTATGCTGGGCTGTCTAAGATCATGGGTTGCTTATTCTCTATTTAAAGGATCACTATTATAGGGTGTCTTATGTGTTCACATTTGTAAATTTTGTTTTCGATAACCTTGATAGGTATTTGTATGATAGTTTTTGGCGCGCTTCTTAATAGAGATTAGACTTCATTGTATCTGGGGTGGTATGCTGTAGGTGTATTAGGAAAGACCTAAAACATCTGTTATCACATTTGATAAAGGAATAAGTGTTGGCAATCAAGCCTCATCTTTTCAAAGAATCAGCGACACCTTTAAATTAATCATATTTCATTGGCCTAGTTTTCACAAGTCCATATCAAATGATAGTGGATAAATCTAGCCAGGTCTGAACTCCAACTCAATTCCATTGCATGCACTTTAAGGTCTCGCTGGTCGGTCACCGAATCGACGAGGTCCTCGCTCGATGGTTTGTTGTTGAGCAACAGCCACGACTGAGACAGGAATAGAGTCAAACTAGATTCTGTCAGTGTTGACTGGTCCTAATCTAGGAAATCCAATCTTACTCCTAGGCTTTTAAGAAGATCCTTCGTCTCAGTGTCAACCTCAAGTTGTCCGGCTTCCGATTGGCCGAAGTCAAGAGCAGAAACTTCAGGGACGTATTGATCTTTTCTTTCTCGCTCCTCTTCTTGGAGTTTGAACGAGATTCCTCGAACAGGTCCGCGTTGGATACGTTTCATTAAGTGTGTGGTGTAGCCAGCAATCTGAGATTGAAGTATTAATTTTGACACTGATTTTTGTAGGTTGTTCTCACCTTATTACGGAGCCTTTTCGAAGCAATAATTGCGATTTCATCACAAATTCTCTTATTTGTCTCGAAGTCAAGGGTCAACTTTGGATAATACCGTTCAATGATAACCTTTGCAGATTTCTTCACCGTCTTCGTGCGAACTCGACCCATCTTGGCGACTCAAGGGAGTAGAAGAGATGAAGTTATTTGTCGATTTAGATTGTTAGAGCCGTTGTTTCCATTTGTGTGTGCGATATCTTAGTCGCTTAAATTATTATCCCAGAGCGATAAATGTCATGTGACTTATCATATTTAAAAATTTGCTCCATAATTAACCTTATTTTCCTTGCAGGTCTAGTCGAATTTGTCACTCTCAAAAGGTGTGGGTGAAAACATCAAGTATGTGTTCATGTTGGGGTTGGATGGTGCAGTGGTACACCATATGGGCTGTTCTCCCAAGTAGATACTGGGTAGCTTGAACACCTACTCCACTCGAGACAGGAGAATGCTGGTTCGAACCCAGTCAGACCCACACACCACGTTCTCTCGCGGTGATATTGTGCTTGTGGGATGATGAAAGCACACTCGGTTTTTCACGCTTTTCCCTGTGGTGGGTATGCACGGAAGAGGTTGTACGCCGTAAGGGTTAACCTCAAGTGGTATCTGCAAATGAAATCTGAGTGTGAATGTTCTAAACGTCAAACTGATTTATCCTACTTAAAGTACATATCTTCCGATAAAAACCTGCATGGGCCTCAAGGCGCCCAATCAGGTAAAATGAATTAGATATGTATGTTTTCATGTCTGGGATAGTTAGGACTAGAAGGGCAAGACTGAACTCCTGTACGCGGTGTCCTCTAAGAACCTGGGAGTGAAATATTCTCCCCGAGCCAAGTTCAGTCAAATTTCGCAATACCGATCAAGTTGGCCCATGTGGCAATGATTCAAATTACTCCACCACGTCAATCTTTTACTTCCAAAGAGATCGAGTCCTACCTAAGCCTCATCAAGTCTACAAGTACGACCCAGTACATCCTCAATCCAATGACCACACCTCTCGTCGACTTTCTCTGGCCTCAGCTCGTCACCAAATACACGCCCACGCCGATAATTATACCCGACGGAGGACACAAAGCATGGCGTACAAATCTGGGAGACTATTCTTTGATATTGGCGTGAGAGGATTCAGGACAAGTTACCAAGATGATGCGAAGGATGGATACAGTCTCGACGGGAGTGCGATTTTGAAATTTGGCAAGGAGTTTTTACAAATTGAGCTTTGTGCGTGCCAAGACTTCGGTTGCGAGCGTGCTGGCGACACTTTAAAAATCACCATGGTTGGATGGTGCTGTGGTACATCGTCTTGGCCGGTCTGCCAAGTAGAGTCTGGATAGCTTGGACACATATCCCACTCGAGACAGGAGATCGCTGGTTCAAATCCGGCAAAACTCAGCCTTGTATTTCAGCGTTATGGTATCTATTGATGACGATTACATGCTTGGATAACCAAAGGTTTTGAAACGCCCCTTTGATGGGTACTCATGGAGGAGGGTCGACTGTTTGTGTAAGCAAGCATACCTCATAGTGGTACTTGCGAATGAAATCCAGAGTATGAGAGCCTCTGACGTCAAAAGAGTCATCCTTCATGTATACATAGCACCGGTCATGTGTGATAGCTTTATAGCTGAATACACATTAAATGATTTAAAAAAAAACTGTTCGAATGCTAGTACACGCGAAGACAAAATCTTGTCGATGGAATCAAAATGAAATTCTTAGCGGAATGGAAAATAAGGTGGTGGTAGTATTTATCGTCAGATGTAGGCCGAGCCACAATCCCGTAGGGTTATTGGACGTATGAAAAAAACGAATACATGATCCTCCAAGCCATAGCTGTGCTGAACTAGCGCCCGACTTTTCCTAATACTTACGTTTGAACTAGCTAGTTACGTAGGCTTGAATAGATAGGTAAGTATTCACTGTGACACTAAGGTCAAAGGTCGAGAGAAACACTGATGGGTAATCCTATAGGAAAAACTTCATTAGGAAAACCTTTGGCGTTTCTCTCATACTCATTGTAAACCAGCAGCCGCATTCGTTTCTAAAACAAGCATGTAGCAATTTCACCTGTCGCCTCTTGAAGGCCCAATCAGCACTTGAATACTTGTGCTAACAGCTTGTTGTGAGCGGTGTTGCCACTACTTAGATAATTTTGATTAGTTGAGTCCTTCGCTCTATATCTCAGTCGTGAGAGTTCTTAACGAATGAGGTGTGAGGATGATGAGACGATTCTGACTGGCACTCGCGTGGATGAATGAGAGTCCGGAAAAGGAGGACTGTGACTAGTCCTGGCTACCTTTTTTTTTAAATCATTTAATGTGTATTCAGCTATAAAGCTATCACACATGACCGGTGCTATGTATACATGAAGGATGACTCTTTTGACGTCAGAGGCTCTCATACTCTGGATTTCATTCGCAAGTACCACTATGAGGTATGCTTGCTTACACAAACAGTCGACCCTCCTCCATGAGTACCCATCAAAGGGGCGTTTCAAAACCTTTGGTTATCCAAGCATGTAATCGTCATCAATAGATACCATAACGCTGAAATACAAGGCTGAGTTTTGCCGGATTTGAACCAGCGATCTCCTGTCTCGAGTGGGATATGTGTCCAAGCTATCCAGACTCTACTTGGCAGACCGGCCAAGACGATGTACCACAGCACCATCCAACCATGGTGATTTTTAAAGTGTCGCCAGCACGCTCGCAACCGAAGTCTTGGCACGCACAAAGCTCAATTTGTAAAAACTCCTTGCCAAATTTCAAAATCGCACTCCCGTCGAGACTGTATCCATCCTTCGCATCATCTTGGTAACTTGTCCTGAATCCTCTCACGCCAATATCAAAGAATAGTCTCCCAGATTTGTACGCCATGCTTTGTGTCCTCCGTCGGGTATAATTATCGGCGTGGGCGTGTATTTGGTGACGAGCTGAGGCCAGAGAAAGTCGACGAGAGGTGTGGTCATTGGATTGAGGATGTACTGGGTCGTACTTGTAGACTTGATGAGGCTTAGGTAGGACTCGATCTCTTTGGAAGTAAAAGATTGACGTGGTGGAGTAATTTGAATCATTGCCACATGGGCCAACTTGATCGGTATTGCGAAATTTGACTGAACTTGGCTCGGGGAGAATATTTCACTCCCAGGTTCTTAGAGGACACCGCGTACAGGAGTTCAATTTGCCCTCCGCATTCGATCAGTGCCTCAATTCATTGTCGTCGGCAAAAAATTGGAGCTGGTTGCTTTTATCCAATAATCGCCGTTTCCGATTTCTCCGACGGTAGAACTAATAAAAGTGTATTACATGTAGCCATCAACTAAGTAAAGCTTACAATTTTACATACACTGCAATCAGCTTTCCACGGCATGTTCGAGCACGGTATGGACCTATCCTCCATACCGAGCGTCCCGACACACCATCTTGGAAATACACTCGACCTAGTCTGGTCTACCGCTGGTGCCCTTGCAGATGTCTCGATAGAGCTTGACTCGAGATCGGATCACAGAACTCTTGCAGGAGATGTCCCCCGCCCGAACTCGAAAGCCAGAGCTGTTATCAAAACGGGTCAACCGGTACGAGTGACAGATGACGCCCTCGAAGACTTCGCCAAGGTACTAGGTAGGTGGGCCTATGGAATAGGGATGCAGCCTATGCTCTCAACAAGAACGGTGGACAACCTTTCGGATAAACTGGTTCAAACCATCAGCGATGCTATTAGGGCTACCGGAAGACGTGGGAGTGCGAAGAAGGGTAGGACGGCACCTTGGTGGACGATAGAGTGCGCACAGGCCAAACGCGAATACAGGATATTCAGGGACGAAGAGAGCAGAAAGGATTTCCGTCGCATAGTCAGAAGTGCGAAACGCCAATACTGGCGGCGAAAGTTCTCTGAAGCTACAACTGACATCAACATGTATCGGATGGCACGTTGGGCTAAACCGCAACCTAAATCTGCTGCTCCGCCACTCCAAACTCCAGATGGTTTTGTCTCGGATTCAGGAAAGCGTGCACTTCTATCGCGCGATCTCCTTCTCGGCCGGTTCACCAGCCAAAACGACGTGGACACCGAACACCTCGAGCCAGGACGCGGAAACCTTCCATGGGTCTCGAGTGTCACTGATGAAGAAGCCAAGTGGGTCACAACGGCCTGCCAGAATTAAGCTCCTGGAGCAGACGCAATTTCTGTTCGTCTTCTTAGGACAGCTTGGCCGTCAATTGGACAAGCAGTGAGAGTACTCTTTGAGGGCTCACTTCGACTGAACCACTTCCCGAAGGCATTCAAGCTAGCGGAAGTAATTCTCCTCCCCAAGCCTGGCCATAATCTCAGTACAGCTAAAGGATGGAGGCCCATCGCACTGCTATCCTCTCTCGGAAATGGTCTTGAGAGACTAGTCGCAAGGCGCATGGCCTACACCGCCATCTCGTACAAGGCCGTGCCGCAGCAGCTTTTTGGAGCACTCTCCGGCAGATCCGCTAATGACTTTGTCTCATGCGTTATCCACGATGTGGAACATGCAATGTAAAGGCAGAAGAAAGCAGTCCTTGTCACTCTGAACGTACAGGGGGTGCATTTGACGCTGTACTCCACGGACGACTGCTGCAAAGGATGAATAAAGCTGGGTGGCCGAAAGCAGCTATAACTTGGATAAATTCTTTCCTGAAAGAACGATCTGCCCATATCAGACACGAGGATGGAGTAACAGACCCAATTCACCTAGAGTGCGGGCTGCCACAAGGATCGCCTTTATCCCCAATTCTCTTCCTCCTTTATATGGCTGAAGTCTTGGGGGGCAGTAGTTGGAGATTTGGCTATGCAGATGATGTTACTATCCTCGGCATAGGCTCGACTTCAAACGAAGCCGCAGCAGCTGTCCAGAGAGAAGTCGACGCAGTCCTAGGGTGGGCTGCTGAAAATGCCGTCTCTTTCGACCCAGATAAGGCCGAAGCAGTCTATTTCCTCGGCCCTACATCCAGGGAATACGACCTTTCGACGATAAGGGTAGGACCTCGCGATGTTCAAGCATCCGACAACATCCGATGGCTCGGAGTTTACTTGGACCGTGGCCCGACCTTCGAAAGCCACGTCGCCAAGTGGACTAGTAAAGCAAA